CCAAAAAAAAAAAAAAAGAACCCTGAAATAATAAGATTTTCCTTGGAAAATGGAACAAGCCTCAGTACTTATTGTTCCAGCTGTCTAGGAACAGCCCATTGTATTCTAGAAATTCCAGAGGGCATCCCCGTTGCCTCCCCAGGGTGCTTTAATTACCTACAAGTACCCAGAGGACCATGATGGCAAGTAAACACAAGGTATGGAGAGTGATACTGGTAGACAACTTTCTAGATCAACCATCAACGGGTACCCATCCAACATATGGTAATTAGCCATGTCCTTATGTTCCATACATTAAGAATGGGCATGCTAGAAAGAGCTCTAGTGATCTCCTATTTTGCTAATAAGGAAAGAGAAGCACAAAAGTTACTATGCTCTTAGTACAGCTTGGGAGACATGTACTTCAGATGATCCTCTTCAAAAGGACAGAATGAAAAACTCCTACAAGTACACAATCATCCAAATGAAATGCCCCATAGGTCCACCAAGTTTCATTACACAATGGATTTACAGTCAAATCTATAGGGGAGGGGGTGAATCTAGGGAACAGATAGATGAAGCAAGGCAGCTGCCAAGATGTAGGGCAGCTGAACTTGCACGAAGGAGAAGACATGTGCACAGAAGCACGTGACCTTACACACAAATAAACCCGAGGGAAATAAAGGCTGATGTGTGTATGAGAAGTACATCAGTCAGGCCTACATGTTGTTAGGGCCTCTCAGTATTAAAACCTCAAAGCTCTCGGCATCAGCCTCTCCACAGCAAATCACAGTCCAGGGTCCACTCTCAAAGCCCCACTGAGGCACTCAAGACCACACAACAGGAAGAAGATAAGGCGTATGAAGGTGAGGTCGGCCAGTCAAGAAATCATGAACAGCTTGCAGAAATTGAAGTTGTTCTCTGCTACATCTGAATACTAGGATCAAAAAATAAATGCTTTATTTCATCTTTTATCCCATTTCCTTTTCTGTTTTGTCTTCAACAATTCCCTTCACATACAATTTTCTCCCTGTCAATGCAAATTCGATTTCTCACTCACGGGTCTGTTTAACTCCAACCTACAGCTCCAAAGTTCTTTGGAAAACACTACCTGTTACATGCCTCCCTTCTAAACACTAACACTCTTTTCAAACTTGCATTAAATTATGTTGTGAGTTTTTAAAAACTTTCATTACACAATAACTAATTATTGTAGAAAAAATAAGCCAAAACAAAGTCATCACTCCAAGACATTGATGCACATATTCTTCAGACATATTTCTGTTGGTTTTTATAAATGGCAGCACTATGACTCTTCCAAATAAAAATGCTATCAATACCGTTCCATGTCAAATACATTCTCTAACAAAACCATCTAATGACTGCTTAATACTTCACTTTAAGCATGTGACATGGTATACTTCACAAATCTCCTAGTTTTATGAATTTAAGTGGTTTCTTATTTTAGACTATAAAATATTGCAATGAAACTTTCTCAAAATATATTCATTCGACCAGACCAGGTACCTCGGTGAGACCTTGTCTCTACAAAAAATAAAAAATT